TACTATATTAGGTTTAAAAGCACCTCTGATTTAAAATGTTTGTCTATTAAAACTTGAATATATGATACATAACCCAACTTTTCTAATCTTAGAAAAAGTGTAGTGATATGGTACTGTATGCATAGTGGATAAATACTTATGATTATTTCTTTTCCCTCACAACTTAATATAAAAATATATATTTCTGACTTGATGTACTGACCCATTCAACTAAATATTAAAAAACCCATTGGATGCATAATATACTAATAACTTGCCCAAAACAACAGAACTTCATACAGATCTCAAAATTAGTTTCTTAAAAGCATAATTCCATGATCACTTATTTAAAATTCAAAATATTATCTAAAGTCTGTAGACATAATAATCCTCCAAATTAAAAATCATCTAAAACCATTTGTAATGCATGTGCCGTATTTCTGAGATACTACAGAGGGAGCTACTGACATAGATAATAAAGTATGCTGAATTGATATAGTAACTGGAGGTCCTATTAATCTTTAATCTTTTTATGTTTTAGGTAATATGTTTTTTATTTTTCAAGGAGAAAAATGAGAGTAAGGAAACTGAAGGGTTTTTTTTTTGCTTTGCCTACAGCAAATTTATTTGTATTAAAAACACATGGCTGGGTGTGGTGGCTCACACCTATAATCCCAGCACTTTGGGAGGCCAAGGCGGGTAGATCACCTAAGGTCAGAAGTTTGAGAACAGGCTGGCCAACATGGTGAAACATGGTCTACGTTAAAATACAAAATTAGCTGGGCATGGTGGTGCGCTCCTGTAATCCCAGCTACTTGGGAGGCTGAGGCAGGAGAATCTCTTGAGCCTAGGAGGTGGAGGCTGCAGTGAGCCGAGACTGCGCCATTGCATTCCAGCCTGGGCAACAAAGAGCAAAACTCCATCTTAAAACAAACAAAACAAACAAAAAAACACAGGACACAGAAAAATTCCCATTTAGGACATTAAAACAATCAGCAGCAAAGGCAGAGCATATATGTAACTAAGGTATTTCTTACATTTTCATTTAATAGTTGTTCTATAATACAACTTTTCAGTATCTTATATTCCAAGCTAAATCATTCCTTCCTAAAAAGTTTTTATAATCCTGTGGCCACTATAGGTATGATTCATTTTTATGTTAAAAGAATTCAGTTTTTTCCAGTTGACACCACTACTGGAAAAAGCTTAACGTTTTTTCTATGCGCGATTCTACATATAGCTAAGAATTATAAGGCAGAAAACAGAAGACTACTGAAGTTTTAGGTTTGAAAGATTGGATTTTTCCATCCGTAATCAGCTGATTACTGTGAGAGTAAAGTGTCAATTTTTTAACCTGAAGCTAAAAAATTAAGTGACATAAGATGAAATAAAGAAACATTTAAGTAAACGGTATACCAGAGGGTTCCACGAATATTTTATGACAAAAGCTCTTTCCTTAAACATCTGTGAACAATCTTGAGAAGGAAAATTTCATAGAAACATCCTAACTAATAAAATGGGTTGAAATTTGCTACCAACAGCTCCTAAGCCACCTATACCACTCATGGTTTTAAACCCTAACTATGCTAACTTTCCCTCTGTTCTGTAAGTATGTGAAATAATGATGAATCAGAGATCTCCTGACTGATATAATTTTTGATTAAATTATGGTCAATTAATAAGTGATTGAAAACTTTTATCTTAAAGAAGCACATACAGAGTTTTCAAACCAAGTACCAAAATTAATGCCTGATATAAACAATATGTGCCTGAACTGTAAGGCAGAAAATGGATATAATGAATTAACTAAGTGTTCAATGAAGAGAACCTAAATATATGTGGCATTTATTCAATATACCCATATTCACCAATTATCTTACATGGAAATGTTCTTTCCTCACATAGGGCCTATGTGCAGCAGTAAAGGGTTAACTCAGCAGACCTGAGCCGTCCAAATGCTGCACATTCCAAAAGTCTTCGGGACTGGCCCCTGGCTTCTAGGAAGTAACCTTTGGGCCACTGTAATATCCACTTGATAACAGTATCTTAGTATACCTGGGGCTTTGGCCATGCCAGATAGTTTATGCTAACAGTATGATTTACAGTGAATATCTGTCTGCCTGGGGCCTCAGGCTATGCTGTATTCGTTTGACCTCTGGAGTAGAAGGGAAAAAGGAGGGCTGGAGACTCAGTAGCTAAGGTCAGTCACATGGATGCTCCATGCCTATGTGACTGACTCACAATAAAAACCCTTAACACCAAGGCTCACGTAAACTTCCCTAGTTGGCAACATTTGCCCATGTTGCCATATATCATTGCTGGAGAATTATCCCAAAGGACGAAGGGAACCTCATGCCAGGCCCTTTAAATTGTTTTCCTTTCTTGATTTTAGTCTGTATGTTTTTGCTACAATAAACTGTAACCATGAGAACAACAGCTTTTCTGAGTTCTTTGAGTTCTTCTAGTGAATCACTGGACCTGAGGGTGGTCTTGGGAACCCCCAACACAAGCTAAAATATAGCAAAATTCATATTTAATAAAGGAAATTTCTTCTAATTTCAAGGTTTGGTTTCAGCAACTTCATTTCCAAAGAGACAGAAACAGCACTAAACACTAATGGGAATGCTTTCTACCATATGGATTTCCTTCCCACCAACTAAAAGGAATAAAGAGGGGTATCTCCTGGCCAGGTATAAGAAGGTATTTCTGTTGAATAAAACAAGTGGTGATCCATTCCCACCAGCTCTCTCCTTTTCTCCAATGAGAACAGGTAATCTTCAGGAAGTCTATGAAATGCAATCATTAATGCCTTCTTAGTTGCTACGGCTGACCTACAGTTGAGGAGAAAAGAACTTTCTCAATTCTTCTACCCTTAGGTTAATTTTGTACTTTTAAAGTAAGGGTTTGTCAGAACCATCTGGCCAGGCTTCAAGTTTCAGCTATACAAAGACATTTCTTGTCAGCCAGGAACCAGTCAAGGGACAGTCTTTTTCTTTGGAATGTCCAGAGCCAAAGTATCCCAAGTCCACTGAGCTAACCCTTCACTGAATAAAAGGATTAACTCCATAAAGGATTTGTGGATTAAAACATAACCAAGGATTACAGTTTCCCCTCAGTATCCAAGGGGGATTGGTTCCAGGACCCCTGAGGATATAAAAATCCACAGATGCTCAAGTCCCTTATATAAAATAATGTGGTATTTGCATATAGCCTGCATATAACGCTCTGTATGTTTTAAATCATTTCTAAATTACTTATAATGCATAATAAAATATAAATACTATATAAATAGTTGTTATATTGGTTTTTAATTTGTATCACTTTTTTGGGGGGAAGGGGAGTAGGGACTCACTCTGTCCCCCAGACTATAGTGCAGTGGTGTGATCATAGCTCACTGCAGCCTCAACCTCCCAGGCTCAGCTAATCCTTCTGCCTCAGCCTCTTGAGAAGCTGGGACTACAGGCATGTGCCACTACACTCAGCTAATTTTTTTTATTTTTGGTAGAGACAAGGTCTTGCTATGTTGCCTAGGCTGGTCTCCAACTCCTAAGCTAAAGCGATCTGCCCACCCTGCCTCAGCCTCCCAAAGTGCTGGGAATACAGGTGTGAGCCACTATGCCCAGCTATATTACTTTTTATTTTTTCCAAGTATTTTCCATCCATGGATGCAATTTCACATCTATGAAGGCTGACTAGCATTCAAGAGCTTTTGGTTTATCAGATCAAAACAGCCCAGCAGTGTTGAACCGTGACAATTCTATTATTACATAAGGTTTCCCAAATCCTTAGCCAGCTTAGTCTTAATTGTTCCTATTTTCTAAGGAAGTTATCAAAGATAACTGTCTCACACGGAATTACAAATGAGATTTTCATTACCTCACTGGTGACTCAGAAAAAGTATCTCACTATTATATTGGTTTCCATTCTGAATCGTAGGCCTAAAGTATCAATAAAAAGGCCTGAAGTTTGAATAAAGTATACTGTCATGAATTTACCAGTATCAATGACTTAGGATTCCCCGTCTTTTATTTAAAGCTTTACCAAGTTAAATGTGGAATGGAAACTGATGACACTTTGCCCAGGAATGTCAGAGACGTTAACTTATGTCTCAATTTTTTTCATCCACTGTCCCAGGAGCTATTACCATGTATTATTTTATTATTACCATGGAGCTATCACCAGCCATTATTTTATTATTTTATAGTTCATTATTATTCACAATGTCTAACTTACTATTTTTAAACACTAACAGTAGTAACAGGAGAATGTTAAGGTCTCTATCCTGAGAATCACATAGGCAAGGGCTGAAAGCAAGACTACATAGTCAGAATACCTGGAACCAAATCTCCATCCTGACACTTAATAGCTCTGTAATCTTGGTCAAGTTTCTTACCTTTTGTGCCTCAATTTCCTCTTCTGTAACAAGGGAATAATCATAATACCTTCCCCAGAGAATTTTTGTAGGGGTTAAATAAACTTATATGTGTAAAGAGCTTAGAATTGTGCCTGGGATCTGATAAAAACTATGTAAGTACTGGCTATTATGTCAATATCATCACTAGCACCACCATCATTCTAAGGAACATAAGACAACTTAACTTACATTAGTTCTATAATTTTTATCTTACCCCACATGTTATAAGAAAGGGCAGTATTACTCTCTGAACTGACAGGCAGCTGTTGTATAGCAGTAAAAGCACTTTCCTGGGTGCTATTACAACACAGCTGCCCCAGTAGTTTCATCTGCAAAATGGGGATGGTAATAATCTATCTCATAGGACCGTGTGGGGATTAAATATCTGTTCAGATGTTCTGTTCTGTGGCATCACCACACAAAATATGTTAATAATACTGAGCTCTGCCAGACACTTAGGATTTCAAAATTACCTGGTTCCAGGTACTCAATCACTTCTGCAAGGATGAGATTTAAAATACTTGAAGGCATGAACCCCAAAAGGTGCTAGAAGAATAAATTAATTTTAAAAATTGTCCCCTTCTTTCACATTCCCTGGTTAGGATACATTTCTTCAAAATAGTCAATGTGTGGAGGTTGGAGTATGTCAAGGGCAGAGAGTACCTGAGAAAAGGAAAAAAAAAAAGTCAAATTTAGAGAACTAAAAAGGAAACAAAACTCAGCATAAATGCAAATAAATACTAACGACTCTTTAATGAATTAAAGCTTACTTACAATTGCTCACTGAAATTAATTAAATTTACCTGTCAGGAAACACAATCTTAACCATTAAGATGGATTAGTAAACTTACTATCCAAAAGATTTACAAAATGAGAGAGGCAATTGGGTTATACCATATACTACCAAAATCCCTGTACAGGAGAGTTTTTGAAATGAATGCCCTATTTGAAATAATCAATGTTGCTCTAAGAGTCACATCTCATCCTTTATTCCTCTGTTCAACAAATCTTTACTATGTGCATTCTACTTGGCAAGCACTAAGCTTTCAGGTTATCCTGTTGAACAAAATAGGCATCATCTCTGCTCTCGAGGCTAGAGAAAAGGCAAGTACTAAACAAATAGTTACAGATATGTAATTACAACATCTATTACTATGGAGGAAAAATATAAAGAAGGGTGGAGAGAAAAAGCTTCCCTGAAGTAACACTACTCTAGAATTTGAAGGTTGAGTAGGAGTTGGTCAATTGATGGACAGGCAGTGTAAAGACACTGAGGCAGATTCTAGAAACAGAAAAGCCAGTGGTTATGTAACATAGTGGGTAGGAAGAAAATAGGCTAACATAAAGTGTAAGAGGAAGACATGAAATACACTACATACGGTCTCTTTAAATCATACTAAGCATTTTCAATTTTATTCTAAGATTTGTGTAAGAAAAGAAGTCACTAGAGTAAGGAAAAAACTTGATAACTTCAAGTCCTTTATAAAACCAGCATAGTCCCTGCGTAACTTCTGCCATCAAAACATAACAAGCAACCCTGCCCCCAGCTGTCTAGCTATTCTTTTAAGACTTTGAATCTATCTTGCTATACTAATGAGAAATACCAAGCTCAAAGGACATGGAAGAAACTACTTAACAGGAAATAAAGTGTGGTACAGTTCAAATTTTATGATCTATAGCTTAGTTAAATTTTCTTTTATTACAGAGAATTTCAAACATAAAAGTGGGCAGAATAGTATAAAGAATATCCATGTAATCAATACCTGGCCTCAGTTATTCAGGCACATGAACATTCTTTGCTCTCCACATATAATTCTCAAGCATATACCAAACTTATTTTAGCCATAATCAGTAAGTATCTCTAATGAAAAAAAAAGGTTAAAAACTACAATGATCAAATCTAAAATGTAAACATTTAAAAATATCATCAAATAGTTCTCAAATTTTCCATTTTTTCAAATTTAAAAAAGTTAGTCTAAATCAGTAGCTAAATAAGATTTACATACTATGATTGTTAATCTAAAGGTTTCCCCATCATCTTTTGCGTTTCCTATTGCAATTTACATGTAGAAGAAACCCTGTTCATTTTAAAGGTTATTCTAGTTTCAACCAAGCATTGTTCTCACTATAAATTTTAAGTAAAAACTTATTTTATGTATTAAAATATCCTGTAATGAAAAATCCTCCACTCACTCTAAAGCCAGTTAGAGGCTTTTAAGTAGTTTAGATGTTTTTATAAGGAATGTTTATATTGGGAATTTTGGTATAAACAGAAAATAAGAGATTTTCCAGTTTCTTCAAAGAATAATTTTTATCATATGACAGATACGTTATTTCATTTCTATATATTTTTAAAACTATAATTAGCCAGCTATATTTCTTAAACCAATAAATTCACATAAGTTTCTCATTATGTGCCAGAACAATTTTTTAGATGAATATTTGACAATTGAGGAAGGCAGTTAGAAATTAGTGTTTTACTTGACATCTTTCGGACTCTAAACTCTGTGTCTGAGCAACACACATCCTGTCTAAGGGGGAAACAGAATGCAGAACGACAGCGTCCATTATACAAAGCCATTTTACACTTCAAATCAATCTGCTATAATTAGAGGTTATCTAGAGGAAAGTGACAACCATACATTTTAAACCTTGATAGAGAAGAATGAGGCTTTCTTACTCCATATTTGATAAGGCTTTTTTTGTAGAAAAGCCATATAAAACAGGGCTAGACATTTGCACTATAGCATTTAGCTGTGATTGTTAGTTCCAAAGGTATAATATTTTAAACTATGCCTGGAATTTTTTAAGCAACTGTTGTTTTATCCTCCTGCTCTTTCTACTCTAAAATGTTTTATCAGAGGATGGCATTCTACTGTGCTTCTAGGTGGTAAAAATAGTATTTAAACTAGAAGAAATGATCCAGGAATCTCAGAAGCAATGTAAATAAGTGAGAAGGTACAGTGTCAGAGTCTGAAACTACAGACTTCATGCCTGACACCCCATTTAAATAGCTGGAGATCCTCTATAAAACTCCACTACTATTTGAGAAAATAAAGTACATGAGATTAGCCTTAAGATGTAAATAGGTGGACACTTGTATAGACTGGCTTGTAAAGAGTTTAAACCCAAATACCACCAACTCTTCAAAGGATTTCAAATACAAAAAATGAAAGCAGACTTGTCTAATTAAAAAATAAATTACGGTTACATCTTTAAATGATAAGTCATTACCAAACACATTTCTTAACAGTATCTTTGCACATTTCACAAATCTTTTAAGAAACACACAAGAGCTCATCATTAGCTGTTTTTTAGAATTTTAACCTCCATGATGTTAGAAGATTCACTATAAACTGGTTATATAAGAAAATAGCTTAGTTTCAGACAGCCCTTTATCAATAAAATAATTAACTGTTGTGAATAATCTCAATCCTAACTGTAAAGACAAGAAATTATCTGTTCATAGAACCAACATTTAGGACTCAAAGAGCAAGATGCCTATAAGGAACGCAGTTAAATCCCATGTTAGCAAGGAGCTATTCTTTTCCCACTCTCTCCTCACAATAGATTCGAAGTCCTTTACAGTAGAGACTATGTTATTACAATTTTTTTAATAGAGTTAGAGCATAAGGCATACAAATCCTGAGTATAACTTGATGAATTTTTATACACACACATATTTCCATGTAAACACCACCCAGATTAAGAAATTAAGCATTTTCAATCCCCTAGAAAACCCCTTTGCCCTTTTTTCAGTCAAAACCCATCCTGGAACTGTTTTTACTTCTGTCACCAAAGATTCATTTTGCTTGCTCTTGAACTTTACACAAACTGCATAGTAAAGAGTGAAGTCTTTTGTGTGCAGATTCTTTCATTTACTGTTACGCCTATGAGCGTTATCCATGTTCCTGTGTGAATCAGTGGTTCATCCTTTTTGGTGATGTGCAGTGTGCTATTATTCAACTGGACTATATCACAAAGTACTTATCCAGAGTGCTGTTGGCAGACCTTTGTACTATTTCCAATTTCTAGCTATTATGTATAATGCTGCTATGAATATTCTTGTACACTCTTTTGGTAAATATATGCATTCATTTCTCTTGAGTGTATACTAAATAGAATTGCTGGGTCATTGGGTAGGTGTATATTTAGGTTTAGTACAAATTGCCAGTTTTCTGTAGTAGTTTTATAAATTTATCCTCTCACTAGCAATGGATTAGAGTTTTAATTGATCTACATCCTTGCCAACAGTTGGTATTGTCAGTGTTTTTAATTTTAGCCAGTCTGTTGGGTTTGTAGTGTTAACTCAATGTCATTTTAATTTACATTTCTCTGATGACTAATGACTTTGAACACTTTGATATGTTATCCTCTTTTGTGAAATTTTTCATTAAGTCTTTGGGCAAAACATTTTGAATTATAGAAGCTCTTTATATGATATTTAGATGTATACTTCACGTCTGAAAAATATCAAGTAAAACACTTACTTCTATTTGTCTTCTTCAAACACTGAACAATTTTACTTTAAAAATTGTTCTAGCCCATAACATATCTGAAAACAAGTATTTTGTTTGATATATGTCTGAGGTCTGTCTTTTCATTCTCTTAACTTTTGATGAACATTTAGTTCTTAACATTAATGTTAATGGTAATTAACATTAATGGTGTCCAATTTAACAGATTTTTATGGCTAATGTTTTACCTGTTCAGTTAAAACATCTTTGCTTATCTCAGTCACGAAGATATTTGCCTATGTTTTATTCTAGAAGTTTTACTATTTTACCTTTCACATTTAAGTCTATGATCCATTTTGAATTAATTTATGTATATGGCTAAGATTAATTTTTTAAATATGGATATCTCAGGGACTCAGAACTGTTTATTGAAATGGTCATCCATTCCCCACTGGATTACAGTGGCACTTCTCTTGCAAATCAGGTGAACATACATGTGGTACACCAGTTCACAAATTTTCTATTCTGTTCCATTCATCTATTTGTCTCTCCTTGCTCCATATCTTGTGCTTTATACCTTCTGTTGCTCAATACCTGGGATTTAGTCTCAATATCAGACAACAGTCTCAATATAAATTTCTAACTTTGCTCAACCTCTTTAAGATTGTCTGGACTATTTTAGATCTTGTGCATTTCCGTAAGTTTTAGAATGTTGTCAATTTCCATACATATATATACATAAAACGCTGCTGGGACTGTGATTAGGATTACACTAAAATGTACTTGACAAGAAAAGACCTATCAATCACATTGAGTCTTCCAATTGGACGTGGGAGATTGTATTATTTTAAATGTGTTAATAATCTGCCCAGAACCACAAACTTTAGGCACACAGCAAACAAAACCAAATTCCCTGAAAAGTAACCTACCTCTACAGCATCCTTTGCTTTTTCCAACTCCTCAGTGGCTGAACAGTTAGTATTAGTTAGCACTTAGTATTACTAATGTCTGAACAGCATGTCTATATTGAGAGATAGGCCATTAACTGTTTTTCCCATATTGTATGATTCTGTAACCTACTTATGAGCTGAAAGAGGTGTTGTTTGAGTTAGGTCAGACTATTCAAAGGAAAATGAATGATGCTTCTTTGTCTCATTCTAGCCCTCTCTGGAGCACTCCAGAGCTAGGACAAGAAAAAATAACCCCAAGAGAGAGTTATCATTCCAGGATCTTAGATTTCTTTTATTTCTGTCATTTTCATTCACTCACTCACTCTTCAAATAGACTGGCTACCTACTGTATACTTAGTGTTATTGTCTAAAGACAAGAAAAATGTCGAAGACATGTGTTACAGGGGCTCTTGGCAGGAATCAACAGACCCTAAGGGGGCTTTGGAGGACAAGTGAAAGCCTAAAATGACATTAAAACTGTATATATGTGTATTTTTCCAAGAGAAGACTGAGAGCTTTCATCCCAAAGGAGTACAAGATCTAAAAAACCTCAATCATCACTTTCCCTGCTGATCATATGACAACTATGCAAGTATATACACACAAGCACAAGAGCATAGGTGCACAGAGAGAAGATTCTGCCAGATTTTACAAAAGCTCAGACAGATACTACTTACAAGCCTAAACACCAATTTTTAGAAAGCTAAGCCCATTTCTGTTTTCCCAAGTTGCTTCAAGGTAAATGTATTCTTTAAGATGAAGTAGCTACTCGTGTGTGTGTGTGTGTGTGTGTGTGTGCGCGCGCGCGCGTATGTGAGTAAAAATTCATTCAGATCACCTGAAATCAATGAATTTGATAGAGCGACTTTGAAGTTTCCTTTCAAAAGAAAATCCAAGGCTTTGTTGCTATTCTCTGATACATAAAAAGCCATCCAAATTAAAATCCAACCTTCCAAAATGACCAAAATCTTTCTAAATGCCATTTTTATCATGACATTCCTTCGTTCTTCAATCAAATCTTGTTCTCAAAAGGCTCATATTAATATTTTCCTTCTGTGTTTGACGCATCTTTGAGTTTCTAAGTCCACAATAATTTCTCTCTTTTCCTTAATATTATGGTAGTTGCCTGCCACCTGAGAAGCTTTAAAAAAAAAAAAATCACAGATACCTGGGCCTCAACCCCAGAGATTACAATTTAGTAGGTGTAAGGTGAGACCCATGAATCTGTGTTTTAAGGGCCCCCTCTTCAGGGAATCTTTGAATGCATTTCTAGGTTTTGGTTGTCCAGCTCTTTGCTATGCACACAGCTGTCCTGCCTTAATATTTAACCACACAGGCAACCCTCCCACAGTACTTTTACCATAGTATTTACCACATCATGAAAGTCATTACAACTACTTCAAAGTAAAAACCCCAGAAGCTAATGTAGTTTAGGCATATAGGATGTGCACAATAAATGTTTGCTGAATTAATGAACATGGGCTCTAGAGCAAGACAGATTTACAGTCCAATCTGTGCCACCTTAACCTTGGGCAAGTTACTTAACTCCAAGCCTCTGGTTCGTCCTCCATAAAGTAGGGTTAACAAGCCCTATCTGACAAGATTTTTAAGGAGTAAATGAATTAATATATGTAAAGCATCTAGCAATCTCTGGACACACAGCAATATGTATTAAACATATCCCTTCAAAAAGTAAGTGATTTAAGCCTTTATGGTATCCTCCACATGACCTAGCACTGCACTTCTTACATAGGACACAATAAATAAACATTTGCTGCCTTAACTAGATCAAATAACAGTTGCTTCTTAGATAGGCATTCCACACATACTAGGTATGCTGGCCCTGAGATCCTTTTGGAAATAGATCTCAAAGACAGCAGAAATCCATTATATATAAAACAGTGGTGCTGTGCCAGCTTCAACTATGTGGCTCGCTTTCAAGCACTTTCACAGATGTCACAGGCACTCTTCTATGATACAGGTCAGCAGCTCCAAACAGTGGTTATGTGTGTGTTGAACACACATTATATGCATTAAAAAATTTAATTTCTGCAACAACCATATATAGTTTGTTTTGTTTTTTAAAAATTAAGAGACCAGGGGAGAGCATGAATGAAGTTCCCCAGTACCACAAATTATGCAGTTGAGTTTCCCACATTTGGGGAAATCACGGGGGTCAGTGCATCCAGAGTGCAATGCCCTGGGAAAACCATCTTCGTGATCACGGTGCCTCCCCTTCCAGGTTAAGTATGCCATATACAGTTTTTTAAATGCTTTTACCATGCCTGCTTTGAAAATGAAAAACTTAAAGCTTGGAGAAATTAAGGTCCAACACACACCAGTAAAAAATAGTAGAACCAAAATTCAAACCTAGTTCTGACTTCAAAGTACAGCTCTTGGACGCTATATTAGAATTGGTTGTATGTTTTAATTGGTGTGATTTTCAGTTTTATTTCTTAACACTACTCCCTCTGATACTGTCTTTATAACTTAATTAGTTACTAGGAATAAGTCACGAGCAAAAAATACCAACTGGACAAACAGCAGCTTATTACACAATCCCTCCTTTATAGAAGAGGCCAAGATTGGTCTGAATATAGTAAGCCATTGACATCATTATTAAGCAAATTTCTTTTTTCTTTGTCTTTCTATTTTTTTTTAAGATGGTGTCTCACTCTGTGCCCAGGCTGGAGTGCAGTGTCATGATCTTGGCTCACTGCAACCTCTGCCTCCAGGCTCAAGCGATCCTCCTACCTCAGCCTCCTGAGTAGCTGGGACTATAGGTGTGTGCCACCACACCTAGCTAATTTTTTATTTTTTGTAGAGACAGGGTTTTGCCATGTTGTCCAGGTTGGTCTTGAACTCCTGGACTCAATGATCCAGCTGCCTTGGTCTCCCAAAGTGCTGGGATTACAGGCACGAGCCACTGCACACAGCCCCAAGTAAGGAAATTTCTGACGCCACCCTTGAAATATTTTTTCATCATGGATACCTTTACTTGAGTCTCTGACAATGAAAGAAGTTCTGCACTCTTTGATGCTGAGGTGACACACTAAGACAAAGTCAAGAAATAGAACTAGACATCATTCTAAATTATTTCTAAAATCTGAGGAACTGGTTGTAAAATAGCAACTCAAGTGGTATTTTGTGTGTGTGGTTTTTTTCTTTTAAGAGATGGAATCCCACTCTGTACCCAGTGCAGTGCAGTGCAGTGCACTGAAGTGCAGTGGTGTGATACTAACTCACTGCAACCTTGAACTCCTGGGCTCACATGATCTTCCCACCTCAGCCTCCCAAATAGCTGAGACTAAAGATATATACTACCACACTCAGCTAATATAAAAAACTTTCCTCTTTAGAGATGAGGTCTCATGATGTTGTTCAGGCTGGTCTTGAACTCTTGGACTCAAGTGATCCTACCACCTCAGCCTTCTGAGTAGCTAGGATTACAGATGCAGCCATTGTCCCTGGCTTCAAGTGGTATTTTGAAATGTATTAAAACAAACATATTGCTAGGCAGTTCCAATTGACTAAAACACAGCAATACATTTTTTAAAAATTTAAGGAAAGAGAATTTCAAGAGGAATAATTAATAAAATGAAATACGTCAAACCAGGGAGCTTTGAGTGAACCATATGGTAAATTTCATACTCCCAGTTTTAACAAATACCTCAAACATTTGCAAATTAGCTTCTTAAAGTGAGACCAAAACTCTGGCCAAAGTTCTAAAGTTTTTTGTGCAAATAAACACTCAGACTCACAAGAAATCATAATTTTTTTCTGATAAAGTTTTCATTATGGCAATTAAAATAGGATAGGTTGAGTACTATGTAAAGAACTTGAGGCAGTTTTTCTTTTCACATGAAACTGAAAACAGATTCTAATGCTGGCAACTTCCAGGTAAAATTTACATGTATCGAATTTTTAATTAAAGGTTAGTTAAAGGGAAGCTCTGTCAAAGCACAATAAGTCTATTTGTTTGTAAGTCTTCACATCTCTAAACACAGCCATAAACAAACTAGCCTATGTAACCTTAAGGGATATACTATTTTTATAGGATAAACTGTTTCCCATGTCTCTAACATAATCTCTGATTAAAAGTATTAACAGATAAAGATAAGACACTTAAAATCAAGGGTCAATTATTTCCACTTAAATCTCTCACTAAATAAATCACTACACTCTATTTTTGTGTTGAATATTAGTATTATTCCTCAGCTAAATATCAATATTGGCTTTGCATCGATCAATATTTATCTGTCAATCAATCAATCTTAGAATTCACTTACAGTTGCTCTTTGTTCAGTCACAAAAAGGGTCTACTTTGTCTCAGGTTTCTAAGCCCCTCAATAAAAATTGTGGTTGTGGTTTCTTTCTATTAATAACCTATTTTCCCTACAAATACATGCTCCTTTTCTGTGGGCTTTAAACATATTTAGTAGCTTGTAGTCTTAGAATTAAAAAAGACATTCAGATTGGCAAATGAGAGTACACACCACAATTCAGAAGCCAATGTGAAACTTAATAGGTTCAATGTTTCCTGATTGGGAATTTAGAACTTATGCATGTCATACAATTCACAGTGTAATTTTCAAACCTTGAAATAAAATGCTCATAAAATATACTACCCAGGTGAGTCTAATACGCTGCTAAGGGTGAAAACCACTCATCTCAATAGTAAAAATTTAAGACAGTCATAGAGAGACATAAAGAGTATATATGAAAGGAAAGCAAAGCACTGAAAGACTACAGCTTAGAAAACTTTTTGTGTGTGCACACCTCTTTTAGTAAGAATGTATGAATTAGAAGCCTATCGATAAGTATTCACCTATAACCTCACCGTTGCGCTTATTGCTTTTCAGTTTGGCATAAAACTGTAGTCAATTTCCAAATTTTACTTATAGGTGTCCTTTTAAACTCTTGTTTGCTCTTTACTAATTCAATGCAGGAGGCTTAGAAAATAGTTTTCCCCAAATACCAATTTCACTTACATTATCATGCTTAAAAAAACACAACATCTTCAATTCCCGGAAGACCCTTTTGCAAGAGACCAGATTCTGGAAGACGTTGGGCATCTTTTTGAGCGCTACTCTCTTTCCATCTCTTGGATCTGTTACTGACCTAAAGAAGTAATATTTGGGGAAGAGGGAAAAAAAGACAGAGAAATCATTCCACACCTTGTTTTCCAATATTTCAGATCATGACAATATCTTTATCTTAAAACACTCAACATTATCTGCTTAATGAAGCTTAAGGTATCAGTAAGAAAGATAAAAGAGTACACACCTAAAATTAAAGAGATGTTTGGTCACCCAACTCATCTTCCATGCTTAATGGAAAAAAAAAAAAAAATCCCTGTCTAAATTTCCATAAACACTTACTCTTTCTGAGAGGTCACTTAATACATCTGAGGTAGGAGAGGTATTAGTGAGAAAGCCAGTTTAAGAATGGGAAAAAAGCAAACATACAGAATCAGCATAGATCACTAATCTGATCAAAGTCAAATCAATTTTATGCTTTATTTTCAGAACTACATTTGAGAGGGAAGACATGTTCAAACACAATTTAAATATTTTGGTTTCTTACGTATATGAACATCTTTTAGTAATACAGACTTCAATATAAGCAGCAGCTGAACAATGTCCCCTCCTTGGAAGTCTGAGTGCCAGCTTAGGGATCCCTCTAGCTCCCAAGTAATGATAACCTCATCCCTTTTATTTCCCAGCTCTTAGTGCGGTAGTTGCTTCTTGCAGTTACTATTTCTTTAATAATTGTGCCCCCCCACTTTTCTTTCCTCTCTTTTAGCCTTCTAACACCTATATAACCAATTTCCTGTATTACATTTCCCTACGTTTGAAATAGGAGTGCAGTTTCTGTTTTTCTGCCTGGACCCAGTTGATACATATTAACCAAAGCGTTAAAAGAAATATCAGGCCGGGCTCCCTGGCTCACGCCTATAATCCCAGCACTTTGGGAGGCCGAGGTGGGTGGATCACCTGAGGCCAGGCTGCCAACACGGTGAAACCCTGTCTCTACTAAAAATACAAAAATTAGCTGGGTGTGGTGGTGGGTGCCTGTAATCCCAGCTACTTGGAAGGCTGGGGTATGAGAATCACCTGAACCAGGAGGTGGCGGTTACAATGGGCCAAGATTGCACCACTGCACTCCAGCCTGGATGACAGAGTGAGACTCCGTCTCACAGAAAAAAAAAAAGGAAAGGAAAAGAAAGGAAAGGAAAGGAAAGGAAAGGAAAGGAAAGGAAAGGAAAGGAAAGGAAAGGAAAGGAAAAGAAAGGAAAAGAAAAGAAAAAAAGAAAAGAAAAGAAATATCAATAAATTGAGTATACATGGCCAACTGGTCATTTGGCAAATTGACTTTCCATGAATTAACCTAGAGCTTTTTTTTTCCTTCTACCCGTCATAGTAAGATTGGTTGTTCTGGTAGAATTTATTCCTGTTCAATTTTTTAAGCTAAATTCACGCCTAACATTCTCAGCTATTATCATTCAGCCCCTGTTCTGATCATCCAATGCTCTAAGTATTTATTCCTCCTAAATTTGTGTCATTTTAAAATTTGAGGTTGGGCTCAGTGGCTTACGCCTGGGTTCCCAGCACTTTGGGAGGCCAAGGCAGGAGGATTGCCTGAGACCAGGAATTTGAGAACAGCCTGGGCAATACAGCAAGATTGTGTATTAAAAAAAAAAAAATTGATCCATGTGACATTAATGCCTCTTTTCAAGTTATAACGTTTAGAACAGGACTGAGAGTAGATCTCTGCAACAGATATCATACTAGAAATCATCAACAAGACTATCATCCAATCATTCACCTTGAGTATGGATATTTGATTACTCATTCTATGAACTACACTCAATTTCTTCATCCCGTCCATAAGGAAATCAGACACTCATCAAATTGCTTTCCCGAAAATAAAAATTCCTAGTATCTATGTATCTGTCTAAAAACCGTATCAAACTTCTTTATGGATTCATTTTAGTGATCACTACTTCCTTTTCTAAGTGCTCATGAAATGCTGAAATGATGTATTCCAGCATTTTTTTCCTCAACATGGTGCTATTTCTATTAAGTATTCTAGTATTTTTAAAAAACACGATGACTTCATTTTCTTCTACTGGCTGAAATTTTGATAAAACAATTATTATCTACTTATTATTATTATTTTTTAGAGACAGGGTCTCACTGTTACCCAGGCTGGAGTGCAGTGGTACAATCATAGCTCACTGTAGCCTGGAAATCTTGGGCTCAGGCAGTCTTCCTGCCTCAGCCTTTCTGAGTAGCTGGGACTACAGGCAATTAAGTATTAACATTTTTGAGTTTCAGTAGCTTCATATATAACTCAAGTAGGCCAGGAGACCTAACATTCATGACTGTTGCTTAAAAAATACTACCTAGGCAGGGCGCAGTGGCTCACACCTGTTAATTTAATCCCAGTACTTTGGGAGGCTGAGACAGGAGGATCACTTGAGGCCAAGAGTTTGAGACCAGCCTTGGCCACAAAGTGAGGCCCTGTCTGTATTACACTTACACACACACACACCCCAACCCAAATCTGCAATACTGATTAAAATCCACATAAACTAGAAAATCGGAGGGGACACTGATATACTGATATATTCAGACTATTAGTTTGAAGCACTTTTTTTTGTTTAAATGTACTACTTCAGTATTTAGCTAATAGGAGAGAAAAACATCAATGAAATACGGAAAAGGGAAAACTTCAGATCACACATTGTATTCAACTGTCACATCTCTTTGGTCTTCTCTAAGCTAGAAGTTACTTGGCACGTCTTTCATGACTGCCATTTTTGAAATATACAGACCAGGCTGGTTACTTTGAAGACTAGTCCTTAATTTGGGTTTGGTGTTTTCTCATGAATAGATTCAGATTACTCATTTTTGATATAAACAACAAAGGAACTGATGCCTTCTCAGTGCATCATCTCAGGAGGCACATAATGTCAATATGTCCCATTACTGATAACTTTCATCACTTGAATGAGGTGTCTGCCAGGTTACTCCACTATAAAGTTACTATTTTTTTTTCCTTTGTAACTGTATTAATATCCTATTTCTCATTGAACTTTGACCCATTAACTTTAGCATCCATTCACGATTTTTGCCTGAATCAATTGCGACGATGGTTGCCAAATGACAATTCAGCAATTTTAATATTTTTAACAGTTGGCCTGGCACGATAAATATTAGTTTCTAAACATAAGGTAAATTGATTTAACACCATGCCCTTTCCAAAGGCTTCATACAATACTTCTTCCTAACTTCTGACTACTTCTTACTGGTCACTATTATGGTGAGAAAAGCCACTAAAGGAGATAAACCTACTCCTGACAATACTTGACACAGGCTCAAGGTGAGTACTGTGTCTTATAATGTTTTAAGGTAAAATTCACAAAGCAGCATTTTATTTTATTATTCATACAAAAGCCAGTCATGCCTGTGGCTGGTAACAATCTAACTCTAATGAATGTGAATGGCAGTGCAGTAATTTCACGTCATGTTGAGTTTGTTCTCTCTTAACTTGAGGTAGCAGATGCTTTGGTTCAGCACAAACAGTACCACTGAACACAGATAAGTGTGGAACATGTTATACAGGAATTCTTTTTATTTTCTTTGTTACTCAAAGGTTTGCGGCGCTTAGTTTCTCTGCTGCTGCAATATGATGGTTATTCTAACTGCACTTGCTAATGAAGCTCCAGCTGTAGAAATAATGAACAACATTAAGGACAACTTTCTTCATTTCAGAAAAAAGGAGCCATCCTTAATGCCTACAATTCTGAAAGCAGTTGCTTTCTCTGCTAAACACTGGATGCCTTAAATAAAACAGTACTTCTGTCATTTAAACAGCCAAGTTATACTGATAGGAGTTTATTTCCTAAGTTTTAAATTAATACTTTAAACAGCATGTTAAAAATAGTTTTAAGGGTCTTGAGAAAAAATCCTTTCTTATATCTGTCCAGAGTTTATCAAAACTTCTTTGTACCCACAAATTCAACTGTTTTTCAAAAAGCCGGAAGAATCCACAAGTCATTATTCAGAGAGACACAGAGTTCATCCAAAGAGTACGATAACAAAACAGGAAGCATTTTAGATCTGTTGAGGTCATTCTGTTGAGTTTTCTTAATCCCAGAAAACTGAACATTGTCACAAATCTGCTTAAATTACTGACAAGCAGCAAAGTTGTAATGAAACAAAAGTGAAACTTATTATTGGGAATACTTTCTCAGGCACTAAAATGTCATTTAAAACATCTTTAAGTCAGCAAGAATCTCCAAGAAATTATGTTTTTCTATGTAAAGAATCCCCCATGTTTTAGCAGTTTTAAAGTTCATGTTTCTGATACATGTTTTTAGCTATTCAAAGCAAATAAATAACTTACAATAAAAAGAGTGTTTTGACTTGGTTTTAAAAAATCAGGTTCTTCTATTCACGTAAAGCTGTAATCAGTAATCCTCCATTTCTTGCTATACATACTACAATTACTATGTCAACTATACCAATGCAGTACACATCTCAGTAATAGGACCTCCTAACTAGACTCTAAAGATTTAGATTATTGCCTTTACATTTATTTTGAAATTCATTTCCTTATTTTTACTTGCATTTAGATTAATTCTGCTTCAGAAAAAAATAGCAAAATAAGGCAAAATTTTGGACAAGTCTAGGAAATGTATCCTATAGGTACCTTGGTCCTTGTTATATGTTCAAGGATACACAAGAAATTTATGTAATAAATTACAGAAGAAACAGTTTTATTTCTCACTGGTCTAACTAGAATTTTAACAGGCTATAATCTGTGTGTACTCATCATATTTATAGAGTTGTAAACAATTTAGAAGAAATCTTTCTAGGTCTCACTTCCCCCACCCAAAATGCATAAATAAAAAACAGATTCTCATTTTCTATATTTAATGTATCCTATTAGCCAAATTCTTTTCTAAGTTGTTTGTTTTGTTTATCCAAGTTTGGTAATTGTTGAGTTAGCTGTATGCATAAGAAAGAGATCCTTTCCCATTTTGTCAGAATATATAAAATGATCACAAATTTGCTAATTTATTTTACAAAGAAAAAGGGCCTTATACAATA